ATGACTGGGATCAACGGAAAGAAGGACAGAGAATACAGACAACTACTCTGTCTGGAGGATACTATAAAACTGGGAAATAGTAGAAGAGGAAATATTGAAAAATAGGCTGAGCATCCTCTAAAAATGTTGCCAATGAAATAGATTTTCAATTCAGCATGAGGGATTGTAAGAGAGGAGATACAATATGGTCCCTGACCCAAAGTTCTATCAACTTTCAAATAAAAATTCTTTGAAGATCTAACCTGCAGCTATCATATTATCAAATGACAAAAGCATGCATGCTTCTTTGAAAAGGAAAATGTATCAGAGCATGATCCAAGGATTTGGTCCCACAGAGTTCTTACCTAGAAAAAGGTAAGTTACACGTTGCAAATAAGCAATCAGGTTATTTTCTTGCATCTAAGAGATAGAAAAAGCACAATATGCTTAAATGTTGTAGGAGAGTACAGAGTAAGTCATTTTCTCATGGAATTATTGGTTCATTTTTTTTTCTTAATAAAGGGATAAGGATGGACTAACAAACATTTGAAAAAATGTTCATTGTCCTTGATCATCAGGGAAATGCAAATCAAAACTACCCTGAGATATCGGCTAGCTCCAGTAAGAATGGCCCACATCACAAAGTCTCAAAGCTACAGATGCTGGTGTGGATGTGGAGAGAAGGGAACACTTTTACACTGCTGGTGGGACTGCAAACTAATACAACGTTTTTAGAAGGAAGTATGGAGAATCCTCAAAGAAACTCAAATTAGACCTCCCATTTGATGCTGCAATCCCATTACTGGGCATCTACCCAGAAGAAAAAAAATCATTTTATCATAAGGACATTTGTACTAGACTGTTATTGCAGTTCAATTTATAATTGCCAAAATGTAGAAACAACCTCAATGCCCACCAACCCAGGCATGGATTAATAAGCGTGGTATATGTATATCATGGAATACATCCATTAAAAAAGATGGAGACTTTACATCTTTCTATTAACCTGGATGGAAGTGGAACATATTCTTCTTAGTAAAGCATCACAGGAATGGAGAAGCAAGAACCCAATGTACTCTATTCTAATACGAAGGCAGTAGATGAGCTAACACAAGGGGGTGGAGTAGGGGAATGAGGAGGTGGAGAGAGGGGAGGAGAGAGGAGGATGAGGGGTCATGGTGTATGGCACACCTCTTGGGGGCAGGACACAGCTATATGAGGGACTTTACCTAACACATGCAAACAATGTAACCTAATTCTTTGTACCCTCAATGAACCTGAAATAATAATAATGAAAAGGATAAGAGTGAAACTTGGTCTTCAAAAGTCCAGGGCAATTTTTAGCCCCAAGAAAAAGGCTGAGTTGGAGTTGGTGAGGGAAGTGGATGCCGGGAGCCTTACAAAAGGCACAGAGAAAGCGTAGGCTGGAAAGAAGGAGTTTATGCCATTACTGTGCCAAAGACGTCTATGCCTAGTGTACATCTGATGTATTCTACGTGTTGAATGTACCAATTCTACTTGAGAATATGCAAATCTTTGCACCGGTCAGCGTTTCAATATTAAAAAGGACATATTATAGAAAAACACGATTCTTACCAAAGGCATAAACTTTCTTTCTTTGAAAATTGAAACAACAATGCACATAAAGCATGAAAAACACGCTTTGAAGTTTGTTAGATTATACTTAGCAAACCACCTTTAAAGGATCTCAGGTAGCAATCAGGGAATATGTCTCCTGACAGATGAAGAACACAAACAGTCTAAAGACCGACGTGGTAGAAACAAAACGAAGAGACATTTTGTCCCTTTCCTGGCAGGGCAAGCTTAGAGTGAATGCAGATGGATAGGCTGGCTGTGAAATTACACTATTAACCATCTGAAGACTTGGCTCATTACCTAAGAAGGCAAAGCATCAATTTGTAGCAGTATTGCATGCTGTTTGTGCTGCCGAGCACGTGTTTAGATGTTTTAATATATTCTCAACTTCCTTGTGTGCATCCTAAGTGCTTCTGTACCAGCTTCTCGATAAGAAGCTTAATTTTGTATTGTTTCCATTTACATTATTTTCTCTAATGTGGATGATAGTCTTTCTTAAAAATAAGTATTCCATTTATTCTCCAAATAATTCTGGGTTCAGATTCTTTTGTTTCTCATTATCAAAGGGCAGGTAGAAGATTATAGATGTATTTTAAAATTGAGGTACTCTGGTTAAAGAAATTCAAATGTTATATCAGAGAACTCATCCTTTCATTCATTTAATGTCCATGTATTGGGCTAAACATGATAGGAAATTCAAGGATGTTGAGCTGTCTCTGCCCTCAGGATGCTTATGACATAGAACTGGCAGGATATCATTAGTACCTTCATATACAAGCAGGCATAGTGCCGTGAAATCTCAGAGGTAAGAGATGAGTGCATTCCCTCATTGCACAAATATTTCTCAACCACCTACTGTGTACTGAGCACTGTTCTATGGACTGGGTGTACCAATGGGAACAAGACCATCAAGGTCCTTGTAGACCTTGACATCAGTGAGTGAGATGGAAACTAATGAAGGAAAAAAGAAAATAAACAATCTAACTTCAGGTAGTCATAGCACTATAAAGAAAAATAAAGGAAGATAGGGAGAGGGCCAGCAGGAGAGGGGTATGAATTTTAGCTCCTGACGGCTTCTGGAGTGATATCTGAGTAGCGATTTCATGATATGTAGGAGCAGGTGTGAAGGAAGGGTTTCCCAGGCCCAAGGATTAAAACAAAAAGCCAAAATGGGACAAGAGAAAAGATTTCATTCTAAGTGAGAAGGGAATTTATTGGAGATTTTAAGCAGGGTGTGGTATGGCCTGATTTAAATCTTATAAGGATCATTCTAGGTGCTACATGGACATTCAACTGTAGAGCGATAAGAAGGTAACCTGGACAGAAATTAGAAAACCTCTGAATAGTCCAGCTAGAGAGGACCAATCAATTCAAGTAGTCTAACCCAGGATGACAGATTAGAATTCCTCATGGTAGTCTAGTTAGTGGGGGTTGGTTTAGTCTAGGTTGAGAATTACTGAGGTGGTGAGAAGTTTCACAAAGCAAGTGACATGATGCTATCTGAGCTGAACACATGGGCAGCATGTGACAAGGGACGGTATCATTCATTGATTTAGTGAGCAACTATTTTTACAGGTCAGATACTGTGCTATGTGCTGGAAATATAGCAGTACTAAGCCCTTCACTGAAAGTGAGAAGACGACCGGTTGAAGAAGTAATATTTTAAGTAAAGATACAAAAGGAAGGAGGTGAACAATAGGCTCATAGGAATGACCTCTGGAATTAGCACTGCAGATGTTTTATTCTTTTCCATTTGGTGCAGAAAACGGTACAGTTGGACTTTGTATATTTGTCCTTGAATTTGCAAAAGTGTTAAGGTGTGATCAGAGGAAACTCAGCTCCCTGTCTTTTTTATTTATTTTTATTTTTTTTGCAGTTTTTGGCTGGAACTGAGTTTTGAACCCGCCAACTCTGGCATATGGAACTGGCGCCCTAACCTTTTGAGCCACAGGCACCACCCTCAGCTCCCTGTCAGGTGGCAAATTTCATCAGATAACTTTCTGGGAAACAGTGGTTAATATTTATTTTTCTCATTCTGAGAAGCAGAAATTATAGCTTACTGAGAAAGGAGAAGAGAAAAAGACAGTGCGAAACACAGGGGCAAGCTCATATATCTACGAGCATCTGTTATGGTTCGTTGTTACCCTGACTCCAATCTTGCCCCATAATCTTTTCCGAGGTGCATGGCCCAACTTCAACTTTCCCTCCTTCTACTTCCTCTTGTTCACTGCCTCCAGAATTCTCCAACCTAGAGCAGTCCCCTCATGTCCATTTCTACAGAATAAATTCCAGTTTTTTCAGCATGACAGACATTACTAACCCAACCAACTTTTCATGCTTTATCTCTGACTCAACTCTATACTGTCCAATTTTTTTGTTTGTTTGTTTTTATTTTTTGCAGTTTTTGGCCAAGGCTGGGTTTGAACCCGCCACCTCTGGAATATGGGGCCAGCGCCCCACTCTTCTGAGCCACAGGCACCGCCCTCACTGTTCAATTGTTTTAATCAAGTTGGATCTTCTTTTTTTGATTTATTTTTTTTTAAACAGTGACAAAGTACACGTTACATAAAATGTATCATCTGAAGCATTTTTGAGTGTACAGCTCAGTGTCACCAGCACGTTCGCTGCGCCATGCAAATCGCACTGGATTTTAAACCACTAGGTATTTGCCTGGTGCTTCCAGCAACTTGTTGTCTGGACCCTATTTGTATTGTATGCTTCCTTTTCGTCCCCTGAAATGCCTTCCCCTTTCTTACCAATTAAAATCCTACATATTTTGAGGACTAGTGCTGGGATCCTATCTCTTTCTTTAGGCTCCTTTGAAACTTGATCTGGAAACAGAAGGTCAACTCTGTTGCTAGGGAACACACTGCTTACAGTAAAAAACAGGCCTGGCTGGTAAATTGCACCTGGCCTGGGACGATCTACACATGAACCATAAATGGATGTGATACTTTGGGCATCTCTGACTGATGACTCTTGTAATTAGATTCCTTATAAGGACCGTGCAGCCTGTCAATGGAGTTATTATAAGAGATATTGTCTCTTATGTACTAGGAAAATTTAAGCTAAGGATATTCCTGTGCTCATTCAAACCTATAATGCCTCTCATCTTCTTGAACCTGAGGGGGTTGGCACTGATCGCTGTACCAATGTTAGGTACAATGATCTTCTCCTAAAGAAGAGAAATTCTGAAGCTTCCCTCCTGGCCAGCAGTGTTTTCTGTATTATTAATACGTCCTTCTAGGTAAATCTGAAGCTCAGTGGGGACCATAGTAGTCCTGTGAGTCTGAACGTGCAGGTGGCCCTAAGGAGACCTGCTCTTGTAGGTTGCATTGGTATGCAGAAATATGGTACTAAAAACTCCAGACTTAAAAATCACTAGGAACCATCCCTAGGGATAGGGCGATAAAAGCGTTGCTTACCTTTGGAAGGAGCTGGATTGCCTGTAGTATTCTTTGCCTGTGCCCAGAATTAAGGATTCCAATTTCCAACAGATCTTGATCTTCCATAACATTGCTTCCCTGAGACAAAGCCAGAAATGTTACAAGTTGAATTATGCACTTGTATTGTGAGTACAGAACAAGGATTTATTTAACACAGAGAAAAATAACCAAGAAATGATCTGATTTTTATAAACAAAGACACAGAAGCATTCTTCCGTGAGGGTGAGGCCAGGGCAGGTCGCCTTGCCTTGTTACTGCTGTGAAGGCAAGGTGAAAGCTTCCCTTCCCTCCCAAATCTCTCCCGTAGCCTACTATTTATGGTTGGATTATCTGCTTGGACGATTCATTCCTGTGACTTAAAACTCCATTTCTGTGAAAATGTGATTGCTTCTAGGAAGAGTTGCCATTCAGGATTATAGGTGACCTATATGTCGATTTGAATAAATCATTTCTTTTTTCTCCCCCCTTGCAAACAGATATTGTGAGGAGGGCCAATAGAAAAACATTGAAGCATATTGAAAGGTTACAAGTGAGAATTATGAATTCATTTTAAAATGTTGAAGGCCAGATGCCTGATCAAGAGACAGGACGCTGCCCAGAGCTGTTCTTACTTCCTACCATCCAGTGATGGAAAGGGATTGTATAAGGGCAGTTGGAATTCTGTGACTGTGCTGGGGTGGCGGCACTTGCTTGGGCCTCCAGAGGAGATTCAGGATGTGTTTTCAGACACAATGACATCTAATCAGATATCTGAAGGGTGGTCACGACTGATTAACCAACAGAGGCAAGCACAAAGGCTGGATTATACAGATATTGCATGCAATGCTGAGGGCTTTAAACTTCTTCCTGACCGTAGCAGGAAGGTTTTGATGAGAAATAGTTACATGATGAGATTCCAAAGTGCAAAAGACCATTTTGGCTTCTGTGGCTGGCGCTTAGTCTCCCTGCCTATAAAATGATGATGCTGAGCCACGCAATGTCCCAGGACCTTTAATCCTGAAACGATCAGATGTCACTAGTTATTTTAAACTTCGGATTGATAATCGAATAAAAGAGTTTATTGATGGCTCATTTTGTCTCTCAATTTTCATCTTTCAGAGTTCGTCTTTAAGCTGGGAGTCTTTAGCTTTAATGTGAAGAGTTTATAGAAGTTCAAGAAGTCAGATCATTCTTTTTTTTTTTTGACAAATCAAACTGTGTCCTTTTAGAGATACTTAAGAATAGAAACGACAGAATACCTATTTATGGAGAGGGATGGGTACTGTGGGAGAGTCAAAGGAAAAGAGACCGAATTGGAAAGGGCAATCCTGGAGGCACAGAGGGAGGCAGCCGTGATTGTTCTAGAGGAGATGAGGGCACAGACGGAGGTAGTGGTTATGGGAGACAGAAAGAAGTAGGTGCGGGCAGCGCCTGTGGCTCAAAGGAGCAGGGTGCCAGCCCCATATGCCGGAGGTGGCGGGTTCAAACCCAGCCCCTGCCAAAAACTGCAAAAAAAAAAAAAAAAAAAAAAATAGAAAGAAGTAGGTGGATCTGAAAACTATCAAGAAGTCTGACTTGCAGATTGAATACGTTAGAATGATGGAGAAATGGGGCACGTGTGCTGGTTCCAAGCTTGAGCAGTGTGTGGGTCTTGATGCTTTTTCCTGCAGTAATGGAGGAGGAGGGGCAGCGCTAGCTTAGTGCAAAGTGATACTCATGTCTTCCCAGGACAAGGACAGAATAGATGGCTGTAAACAGTTTAATATCGGACTACGTTATAAATGGCTAATTGATCACTCTTAGGAGGATTAAAGCCATTAGAATGGTACCAGAGCTGGGGATTAAAAATGGGCATTCGCTGAACAAAAGCCTTCTACCTACTCAAAGTGTCATGCCTATACTTAAGCTATATTGGCCATCTAGGAGGAAGCAGAGGGATCCAGGTATACAGCAGCACGATAATGAAAAGCCTAATGAAAAACAAATAAAGCTGTCTTGGCAACATGCCACAGGAAACACTGCTCTCAAGAAATTACTCAGCACACACAATAGAGCATGGCTAAGAATATAAATGACTTCATTTTGAGAAAGCATTATTATTTCCAGAAATGGACTAGCGCGGCACGAGCAGGATATGTGATAGCATTCTGACTTCTACTCTTTCCAAAGGAGTTGGTTGGTCTGTAAAAAAGTTCTTGGTCCCCTAGAGAGAATTAACAGGTTTTTCATGTGCTGAATTAGCAAACACAGCTCCAGCTCAGGCAAAATGCAGGACCTGGTTTCTTTGCACAAACAGAGAACATACCAAGATTCTATAGTCTGTAGTAGCAAATATTTATAGGTCGTCTCCAAATTTCAGTGGCTGGACAGTGAAATGATTTGGACCGTTAAATCATTAAGAACCATTGTTCTTCCTTGGTCCTACTGATATACTCTTTTTTTCTACCCTCAGTGAGAAAGGAGACTTTTTGAAGAATTGTAGGGAAGTTAGACATTTTTAAAGAAGGTGCTAAGTGTATAACAACAACTGCTCTTTGGGTTGAATTTTCTAGCATATAGGATAATTACCAAATACTTTTGATGAATGAGTAACAATCATCAGAAGCATAATGAAAATTGGGAGAATGTGCCAAAGGGCAATTGAAAAGAAAAGGAGGTACTGTCTCCATGAGGCAAGAGGTTAGAAATTTTCTCCCCCCACCTTTTTTTTTTCAAATTATATATAGAGATACCAAAAATATCTTCATACATCATGCAGCTGATCTTTTGTCCAAACAGCAGAGGATTTGTGGTCTAAAGACCTGAAATTGAAGCTGGACATGGTAGCTCATGCCTGTAATCCTAGCACTCTGGATTACTAGAGTTTGCGACCAGCCTGAGCAAGCGTGAGATCCTGTCTCTACTAAAAACAGGAAAAACTAGCTGGGTATTGTGGCAGGTGCCTGTAGTCCTAGTTCCTTGGGAGGCTGAGGCAGGAGGATTGCTTGAGGCCAGGAGTTTGAGGTTGCTGTGAGCTAGCACCACACTGTAGCCTGGGGCAACAGAGTGAGACTCTATCTCTACCTCCCCCCAAATAAATAAATAAATAAATAAATAAAGACATGTATTCAGATTTGGATCAGGGCTGGGTAAACTTGGCTAAGTCATATATTCTTTCTAATCTCCATGGTCCTTACCACAAAATGAGGCTTTTTAGTGAATATGTGTTAAGTTTGAAAATACTATGATTTGAAATTGTGTTTGACTTTCAATTAGTACTTCGTATCATTACATGTACATGCAGATTGTATGTTTCAAAATTATATTTTAGTGCTTCAGAATTTGTAGCCTAAAGTTCCCTTTAAGAAGTGATTATAGAGAAATCAAGAACTCACTTCTTTTCAGACTGATAGATCTTTGCATTATGAACATATGAAGTTTCTTATTCAAGGAAATTATAGAGTACATTATTTTGTAGTATTTTAGATTCTTAGAGGTTTTCTGAAAAATCTTACAACTATCTCACCATTTCTTTTGCATGTGAGTAACCACTGTGTCCTCAAGGACAGTAACACCCCTCTCCTTCCTCCTAGGTAGCTAGAATTGATTTTGACTTCATCATTTGCCTTTACTGAATGTTAGAGAATCTCAGCTTAACTCCTTCTTGTTTTCCTTTAGTAAAAGCTGAACACATACTCTAGCTATCATCCTCCTCCATCCACTTTTCACATAATCGCCAGATGAACAGTCTGTGGCCCAACACTTGATCCTGCCTGTCTTCTGTGTAATCACCTCCCATGCTGCTCTCCCTTCTCACCTCCTAGGTGCACCTGTTGCCTGGCTTCTTCCTCTCCCATTTACTCTTCAACCTACCAGAATAAACTTTCCCTCCCCCACCAACCGCACAGAAGTTCTCTTCCAAATAGTGAGGATGGTCTAACCTAGTTGATTCTTTCCAGTCTTGATTTCAAACATTTACTGGCCATGTCGGGGATGGTTACCATAGTGGACAACAAAGATCCAGAACGTGTCCCTCAGTGTAGAAAGTTCCACGAGACAGTACTGCTCTAAGGGCATAGATCTTGAAACTCCAGTCAAATCACGTAGATGGGACAAAAATGGGAATCAAACAGGGGATCAGAAATACTCATGAGTCATTCTTGAGATATAATTATTCATGTGTCAAAGTGCATGAACAATAAGTTGAGGATTTTTAGCAAATTCTCTTCTAAATTTTCAGCCACCAAAAAACAAATTAGAAGCCTGTTCTATTTTCACTAGTATTTCTTGATTGTGGAGCTAGAAGTCTGTGCTATGAAAATGAAAAATCCAATCGATAAATGGTTTAGTATTCTCTTAGCACCCTGTAGGCACACTGGATATGGTGTTTAGGAAATAATAATCAATAGATAAAGTTGTTTACTTAATGACTTTCTAGATGAACAAAGGCCCAAGGCTTTCTTTTTTAGATTAGCTGTTCTTTTCCTGACAGGCCATGTCTAGGGGGTCTTCACTGCTTTCTTAAATAATGAAATGAGGAAAAATCACCTCATATTTTACGCACTGATAGCTGAAAGCTGACATTTTTCTGACCATGGGGAGAGTATCTTAGGTATGAGATTTTCTCAGCTGTGACAAACTAATAAGATGACCAAATAGAACAAAGAAATAGTGTATCATATTTAATTATCCATTCGGAATAGAACAGCTATTTATTGAAATTATTTCTCAAAAATATCTATACTGATGGCTCTGTCTCTCTGAACCCTAGCTTGAAAAGTTCTCCTATTTTCATTTTCATATTGTATTAGATTCATTTAGAAACTGTGCTTCATATTACACAGTATATGAAAGGACAGGGAAGCGCATTGAAGGACCCCAGGGAACAGGTTTGTTCTTAATATAAGCTTGACTCGGGTAACATTATTTATTCTCTCTCTTCATTCAATCCAAGGCTGAAAAAAACCAAGAGGGTACTGTTGATTGAGGAAAATTGCTTTTGCTCTATAATTAACTAAATTAGATTCTTTGCCACAATTTGTGTGGCCTTAAATATTTAAAATAGAATAGCTGTATAATAGAATGACACCAAGATCTTGCAAGCTCGCACACGGGAGAGT